TAATTTTTTTCAGTAAATTAATTAACAAAATAATTAAAACTAATTCAGTGATAAAAACAAATTCGTTATCCTTAAATAAAAGTTGTTATCATTTAGTTATCATAGTTCCAGGAATGTTGTGGTTGTTGTTGTTGTTGTGTTTTATTATGTTTTGTAACGTATGTATGATAAATCGAATAACATTCAAGGCACACACAATCGCTCCTCTCGTGGCTCTCTCGTTGAGAATACCTAAATTACAGATTACCCGTCTTTTTTTTTTTTTCTTTTTTCTATACTAAACGTTTTAAAAACGTTTGATTTGAATTTTGGCGGGATTTTTTTTATTTAAAAAATTAAAATTAAAATCAAATCCAGTTCGATTCGTGAAAATTTATTTTAAATATAATACGAAACTCTTTAATAATCGATAATTAATTAATAAATATTAACGTTAACTAATTACACGTTATTTTCATATGAGAGCGTGCACGTCAATTATAATGACACGTTAAAATGATGTTAAACGATAGCTTACCCGAAATAATAAATAAATAAAAAATAAATAAATTATTATTGAAATAGTAAATAATTTTTAAAATGGTAATACATTGATGGCATGCGCCAGGCACGACGCTGAAAAATATTTTTTTTTTTTTTTTTCGTACACGATTTCCTTTTATGTTTAACTTACGATACAATTAACAATATTAACAAAAACTTTTGCATTCTTTTCTATCTATCTTCTTCCACGTTTTTTTTTTTTTTTTTCATTTACGTGTCGTATGTTAAACATATTAAAAATTTATTTTTCAAATTTGATTTTCAAAAGATCTTATTTTCTTTTTTTTTTTTTTTTTTTTGGTGCCTTTGGCAAGAGCCGCTATTATTATTATTATTATTATTTTTTTCGCATTGAAAACTTCTATTATCAAATCTAAAAGTTAGGCAGATGCAAAAGTTTTAAAAAAAAAAAAAAAAAAAATTTAAAAAAGAAAAATTGTTTTCAGTTCAACAACTGTAATGATTTCATTGGTTTACACAAAGGTTTTATTAAGTGTTAGATCTTTTACGAACAGGTCATCATCATCATCATCATCATCATCAATAAACCTACCTACCTACCTACCTAAATTTTTATATATTATTCGCCATTTTCTTTTTTTTTTTTTTTTTGTGTGTGTGTGTGTATGAATTTTTCTTTTTGTACGCGAGCATATATTATACGTTAATGGACGAATAATAAAAGAAATAATTTTTTTTTTTATATTTCGTCACGTGTCATGTGTTTTTATAATCTTCCACGTAATTTACGATATTTATTTGTTAACGATAATAATAATAATAATAATGATAATAATTTCATTTGTTATCGTTAAAATCGTTTAAGTTTAAATTAATGACGTGTATATCATATAAAATAGGTCGTCGTTGATTTTGTTGTTACCTTTTTGCAAAAAAAAAAAAAAATTTTTTTAACGATCATTAAATAAACGTTTCTCTCCCCCCCCCTCTCTCTCTTTCTCAGACTCGATTTAAAACCTGAAAATAACCGTTTTACTTTATTTTATTTGACTTTGAAGATTTTTTTAAAATAAGGTACTACCACAATAAAAAATAATTATCTGTTGATGTTTTAATCTGTCAGACGTCCATAAATGTCAGTTTAACAAAAAAAAACTTATCTTTAATAAATATTTAAAAAAAAAAAAATTAAAAAAAAAAAAAAGGGTGTTTCCACAAATTAAAAAACACGAAGGGAAAAAACAACAACAACAACAACAACCAAACAAACTATTAAAATTCAGACACGTAAAACTTTTAAAAAAAAAATTTATCTGGGATAATAAAAAATAATAATAATAAAAGAGAAAAAAATTTTTCCATCAAAGCCAAAACACAAAAGTAATAAAAAAAAAAAAAAAATAATAATAATAAATAATACTTGAATTATTATTATTATCAAATTTAAAAAAATAATGATTGCACATGTAAGTAAATAAGTACTTTAAACTGGGGAGATGGGGTAGGGGGTGTAAGTACCATTGTATTAATCATTATGGCCAAAATAATTTTAGGACCCTTAAAATATTGATTGACTTCATTGAGTAAAAATTTTCTTTTTATATATAGGGGGGGGGGTAACATCTCACCTGAACATTTAAAAAAAAAAAAAAAAAAATGTTTTTTTCTATCTGGTATAACAAAAGAATATTGAACCATATGTATTATTATTATTATTATTATTAAATTCTTTGAAAAGAACACTTAATAAATATTTACAGATATCATTTGATTGCTTGAAATCTTTTCAAAGAGAGAGAGAGAGAAAACGTTGAGATGACAATGAGAAATGACAATCGTATTATTATTATTATTATTATTATTATTATTATTATTAGTTTTTTTTTTTGGGGAGTAGATTTTTAAAGATTTTTATCTTATCATAGGGTAGCATCTAAATCTTAAAACATATGTGGCCGAATTTACGGTTTCCTTTTTTTTTTTTTTTTGATGCTTTTTAAGTTTTCTTTTACAAAGAAAAAAAGGAAAAAAGGGAAAAAAAGGAAAAAAAAGGAAAAAAAAATGTTTTTTTTTTTTTTTAATAAAATCTGTCACAAAAAATTTACTTAAAATGACGTCGAATTTTTTTTTTTTTTTTGGTTGTTGTTGTTGTTGTTGTGTGAATGATTTCTTTTGTTGTTAACCTACTCCTTCTTCCTCATTATTATTATGATTAATAATTTTTTTGCAAAAAAAAAAAAAAAAGGAAAAAAGGGAAAAAGTCTGGATAGTTGAAAATTATATAATTTCTCTCGAAAGTTCTATTACATATAAAATAATTTTTATTTAAATTAAATCAAGTCCAGGTGAAACTGATTTTACTGGAGCGTGATTCCTTTTTTTGTTTGTATATAATTATATAACAACAACAACCAAAAAAATTTCATTAAAAAAAAAATATTTAAAAAAAAAAAAAAATTTTTTAGCCATCTTTTATAAAAACTTTGTTTTTGTTGACCATTTTAAATTAAATGTTTACGATTGTTAACCGTAAAATTAATGTTTTTCTTCTTTTTATTATTATTATTATTATTATTTGTATTATTTTTTTTTTTGGATAATTATACGGTTAACTAAAACGGTGCAAAAGAAAAAAAACAATTTCGAGGGGGGGAGAACTTTTATGCCGTTACCCTTCAGATAATTAGCAAGAAAAAGGAAAAAATTACGGTTGAAAATGATAATAAATTAACCTAATTATTAATTTAAATCGTAAAAAAACAAAAATAATAATTATTATTATCATTATTGATAAATTTCGCGCCAAAAATTAAAAAAAAATTTGAAAAATTTTTTGTTTTTTACTTATTTTGTAAGTAACATGAAAACCGTTACAAACTTATGGGGGGAAAAAAAAGGTCGTGGAATTAGATAGCCGTTAACAGTTAGATCTGCTAATTTTTTTTTTTAAATTAAAACCTTTTAAATAAAAAGTAGTGTAAAGTTGTTGCATTCTAATGGATTTTTTTTTAAAAAAAAATTTAATTATTAGTTTGTGTTAAAAAAAAAGGTGTTGGTCGAGATATATATGTGAATTTGAATGATAAGGCATTACTTATTTTTAAAAAAAGGGTAACCCCAACCCCAAATCAATGATATTTAATTTATATTTTTTTTTTTTTTAGAGAGAGAGAGAGAATTGAATAAGTAAGGTATGAAAAAAATCATTTTGTGTGTTTTTTTTTTTTTGTCTTTTGTCATATCAAAAAATGCCAATAACGTGACATGTAAATGTTTTTTCAACCTTACCCCTTTGAGAAATGAAAAGTTATTGATAATAATCGCTGACTAACGGTTTAAAATAACGGGAAATAAAATTTATATCCCTTGGGAAGTGACCCAAATAGAAAAAGGGTTGTCTGGATAAAAATGATTTTTAATTTTTTTTTTTTTTTACAACATATTAAAAATAAAATTTTGAAAATAAAAAAAAATTGATGTCATCTCTTTTTGTAGTGTCATCATCATCATCATCATCATCATGATATTTTTTCATTGACATTTTATATTGATTGATTTTATTTTATTCAATTTTTTTTTTGATATGCTATTGATATAAAAAAAAAAGAAAAGAAAAGATAGTTTTAAAGTCATTCTTTAGAAATAGGAATAATAAAAAAAAAACAATTTTATCATTGAAAAAATAAAAAAACGTATTGAATTTCGATTTTTTTTTAAAAAAAATTTTATTATGGTTTAAAAAATTATATAAATTTATTTACTCTAAGGATTTCAACAAGAGTACAAAATGTAAATATATTTTTCCACGATGGATTATATTATGTAATTCGTTTTTTATCGTAACGATAATGAAATTTCAGTTTAAAAATGTTTGTTTTAAACCCCAGAAAAATAATTTTTATCGTTTAAAGTTTCGTTAATTATCAATAATTAAATTATTATCAAATTAACGAATGAAAAACAAACATTGAAACAATTTGGCGCCAAAAAAGGGAAAATGACTAAATTAAAATTAAGTTGGCTAAACTGATAGTTTGTAAGTTATTAAGATTTTACTTAATTCTTTTTTATAATACGTTATTAAATAAATCATTTTTTATTTAATTTTGAATTAATTAAAAATACTAGTTTTTTTTTTTTTTATTAATTAAATCGGAAAAAGTATTTCTTTTTTTTTTAAAAATATGAATAATAAAGGCCTTATAAATAGAAATAATATTAGGAAAATGAAAAAGAGAAAAAATAATAAATCTAAAGCTCAAGTATTTATTTTCAAAATTTTTATTTATTAAATTAGAATTACAGTTAACAGTTGAGTGATTTTTTTTTTTTTTTAATTACAGAATCATGATTTATCTTGGATTAATAATATTAGTGAGATTGAACGAACTTTAGATGAACAAATACCATTTATAATATCTGAAATAGAAGAAAAACCTAGTTTTTATAATTCAATTATTGATATACGTTCGGATTTAAAACGTATTTTAAATAGAATGTTTAACAAGAAAAAAATTTTTAATGTATTTATTTTTGGTTCTGCCGAATTGAGATTGGCTTTGCAAGGTAGTGATGTCGATATATTTGTCGATATTCAAGGTATTACATGGAAATTAATTCTTTATTTAAATTCAATTTTAAAACAAAAATTTCTCTCCGATAATTATTATAATATTTATTTTTAGACAAAATTCCAGACAATTTTCTATATTCTTTAAAAAAAGCCATACATTATAATAGATTATTTATTAGATCATTTGTTATCGAAGCTAGAATTCCATTACTTAGATGTGTTCATCAAAGCGGAATCTCATGCGACATTGTTTGTTCAGACTCTTTTGGAGTTGCAAATACTAAATTAATTAATGTTTTATTCGAATCTGATGAAAGGTTTATTTTTATTTTTATATTTACAAGCATTATTTTTAATATTGAAATTTCAATTGAAACTAATTTAACATTTTCAGAATAAAATATGCATTATTAATACTAAAATTTTTAATGAAAAATCAGGGATTAAGCGTACAAAGCGGAATCAAAGGCCACTGTTTAATTTTATTATTCTTATTTTTTCTACAACAGTTTCAAGAACCATTAATGCCTTCAATTATGCATTTGCAAAATTTAAAAAATTCAAACGAAATGATATCCGGTTGGAATGTTTCATTTTCTTCCGATTTAAGCGAATTAAATTATAAAAGTGATATGAGTGTTCCGGAACTATTAATAAATTTTTTTAAATTTTATTCAATTTTTGATTTTGAATTCAATGTTATCAGTGTGTTTAGTGGTAAAGCATACCTGAAATCCATATTTGGAAATGTTAATACTGTACCTGACGAATTTTCATGTTATAAAAAAAACGTGATTGAAAATAAGTGTAAAGAAATAGAGTTGAAAAATTTCATGTGTGTTCAAGATGTTTTCGTACACAACAATAATGTGAGTAGAAATGTAACAATACAAATTTTAATTAATTTTCAAAAATTTTGTTTGAATAATTTTAATTTATGTGAATCTATTAAAAAAACCAATTCGTTTAATTCAAAATTTTACGAAGAACTTTTTAAATATAATTTAAATAATTCTCATATGACAAATGATTGCCTAATTGAAAAAAATATTTATTTAAGAAATACCATTGATTGGAAACAATGTGAAATGTATACAATGAAAGATTTAATAAATTATTGGTGTAAATCATTAATTGATAAATTAAAATACATTGTTGGTAAAATATTAAAATGTAATATTATTTACGTGATTAATGATGAATTTCCGGACGATGTTAAACAATTTATTACTTCGGATAAGGCATTTATCGTTGCTTGTGAATTTTTTTATTACGGTTTGGTTTCGCAATTAAGATCAAAAGCTCGAAACGAATTTGAATTTCCAAAAGAAATTAATTTACTCAATGCCGAAGAAATGATTTCCGATTATTTATGCGATACAATATTGAAAACATCAAATGATAATAATAATCCTATTAAAATTTTTATAATTTGTAATTTACAAAAGGATCCAACTTGCATTCGATTAATATTTAATTCGACCAATAAAACTTCATCGCAAAATCATCATTTCCATAAAATTTTTACGGATTTTAAAAAATATGTTATTAAATGGATTGAAACAAGTTGAAATTAATTCTCAATTTATTTATTTATTTTTAAATTATTTCCGGTCGGGGAAAAAAGACAATTTTTTCTTATTCAATAAGAAATTATTACTCCATGTAATTATTTACAAAGCATTTAATGATAAACCAATCGAAATGTTCTTACAATTACAACACTGATACATATTATTATTATTATTATTATTTTTCTTACTAACATTGATCTGTACATGTTTTTGTAAGTTTTATACAGTTGTCAACACACAACAACAAAAATAAAATAATATTTTTTTAAATTTTTTATTGTTTTTTTTTAAAAAAAAAAAAGGTTTCACATTAAAAAAAAATATATAATTAATTTTATTTTCCACTTTCTTTTTCTTCTTGTATTTCTTGCATTTTTTGTTTCCATAATTTTGCATTTGCTAATAATTTCAAATTAGGTTTATCAGTCTCGTCCTCTGGAAATATGTAATCGAAAAATTCTTCCCATCCTTCTTCGGTCTGAAAATACAAAAACAATTAATTAAAAAAATATCGTTTCGATATATAATAATACCACCTAACACGATGGAAACATACTCCATCTTGTGCAATTATTCTCTGTCTCTTTTTAACTCTCTTGGGCATTTTTTCTAATAATTTATTTATCGTCGTTTCGTCTCCATGTTTGCTTTCGAATTCTTTCCACGCTTCCAATAATAAAACTCTTTCTTCTTTTTGATTGTTTGACCGAAGTGCTTGATTTGCTTTTTCGTATATAGACCTCGCTAACGAAACGCTATTGTCTTCGTTTGAATATTCTAATTCGAACTGGGCATAACTCATCCAAACCTTAAAAAATTGAAAGAAAATTTTTCGCCATTGTCGTTCCGAATTTGTGAAAAACAATTTAAAAAATGATTTAATCACCTTGACGTGTAACGTTCTTTCCAATAATCTTTCGTAAAGGTTTCTCACTTTGTCCATTTCACCCGATGCTATTTCGAAATCTATGTAAGCTTTCCATAATAGTTCAGGCATGTCTAATCGAGGTTGAGAAACGGCAAGTTCGTAAATGGCTCTCGATCTGTCGACGTCTCCCAATAACATTTCGAGTTCGGCAAACTGAAAATTAATTTAAATCATTATCATTATCATCACAACATTTTATCCAATTCATTCAACTTTTTTTTCCCAAATAATAACTTTACCCTCATCCACGTCACACAATTTTCCGGTCCGAATTCTAAAAATTTTTCGTATAATTTACGACAACGATCGAATTCTCTCAATTGAATTTCCAAATCTATGTAACCTCTAAATAATTTATCTCTAGGACATTTACCAATGGCCGTACCCTGCAGGAATTAAAACAAAATTATTTATTTTATTTCCGTTTTGGTTTAAAAATGATATTAATTATCGGGTTCTCTTACCAATGCTTTCCGGGCTCCGGTTAAATTTTTATTTCGAATTTCGAATTGTGCGTAGAGTAACCATATTTTAGAAAATGTAAATAATTTATGAGGTATTAATTCTAAACAGGCTCTGTATACCTGACGCGTTCGTTCCATGTCGTTTGCTTCCAATTCTTCGAACAAAGCGTAATTTATCCATAAGTAAATGTAACGTCTCCAAAATGTCTTTTCCTAAAAGTAAAAAAAAAACATTTTTTTTTTTTTGTACTCCTTTAAACTAAAAACGATTAAAAATAAAGTTTATATCGTTTTACTTTAGACGGTGGAATGTTGGCTATGGCACGTTCGTAACTATCTCGAATAATATCGACGTTACCCTCACTTTCGATAAGTCTAAGATAATCAAACCAAGCATCATAATTACTAGGATTCGCTTTAACTTCTTCCTCATATTGAAATTTTCTTTTACTGACAATCACATCTTCTATACCAGTTCTATCGCCAAATTTTTTTTCATGTATTGTATAAGCCTTGTAAATTTCTTGAGCTCTGTCTTTAGGTACGTGATCCAGGGCATATTTATAAATAACTCTAGCTCGATCATGCTGTTAAAAAGTAACGAATAATGTTAAACACAAAGTATACATGCTAATAACAATTATTAATTTGAATTAAAAGTTATTTTACTTCTTTTTGTGTTTCTTCAAATTTAGCAAATGCTATATATAATTTTTCTTCGACAATATCATCTCCATAAAATTGCAAAGCTTTCTCGTAAACACCTCTGGCACTGTTTATAAATCCATGTTTCTCCTCGAATTTAGCATATCTGATCCAGTTTTTGACTTCAGGATGTACATAAACAAATCTTTGAAAAATTAATCTGGCTCTATCCAATTCCTTATACCTCATTTCAAAATTTACATATGTATTCCATGCTTGTTCATCTGGTTCCCATTCCATCCACCTTTCGAAAACTTGCCTGGCACCTTAAATTATGTCTTTTTTACATAAGATCACGTTCAAAAATTTATAAAAAAAGTAAAGATTCGAGAGTATTTACCAGCTACATTTCCTAACATTTCTTCCATGTATGTGTATTTGTACCAAAATTGATTAACTCTAGGCAATATAGTTACAGCTCTATCAAATAAATTTCTAGCATGATTTATTTGTTTTTTCCTCATTTCCAATTCTGTATATTTCAACCAAAGGGTAATATTTCTATGATCAACATCCAGAGCTCTTTCATATATAGATCTAGCTCTACATTAAAACAATATTAAATTTAATTATTATTAATGATCTATTATTGATGAAAAGATGTAAATACAAAAAAAGTTATTTCCTTACCTTTGAATTTCTTTTTGACTCTCTTCCCACTGAGCATATTTGATCCAATTGTTAATAACACTTCTATTCTTTCTAATATTGTCTTCGAAACCTCTTCTTTTTCTATGCTGATAATCAGCCAATTCTTCTCTGTCTGATATTTTTTGTTTTGGAGGCTATTAAATAAATTATGATTATAAATAATCATCATTTTCAAGGTATTTATTCTAAACATGATTATTTACTTAAAGAGAGAGGTACAACTTACAGGTGGTAAAATTTCTAGATCCCTTTCTTTTGCTTCTCTTAACAATTGTTCAGCTGTAATCTGGATTTCAGCAGGAGCTTTGTTTTTGACCTATAATTAAAATATATAATTTTATCATATACAAGAGTGATTTAATTAAAATGCTTTAATTATTACAAAAAAAACTTTTTGTTTACTTTTAAAATAAAGTATGAAATAGGATAAAGTTTGAAAGGTAAAAATAAAAAATTTGAATAATCGTAATGACTAAAGTTAATAAAATATTTCTTACTTTTGCCATTTTAGGCATTTTTTGTGGCTTTTCCATTTTTAATAATAATTTCTGATTATAAATATTCTATTGTAATAATTATTAGTTTTATTTGCCTTTTCCTAACCTCCGTTTTTACAACGCAGCCAAATTTGAAAAGTTAAAATTAGCTTTTGAAAATGCTTTCGATTTTTCTAATGCCACTACAAAACTGCAAACGGTAATTTTAAATAATATATATATTGTGACCATGTAAATATATTTATAATTCGTAATTATTATTCTTATATAAACATTTATTGTTTCATCATTTTATTTTTATATTAAAATGAGTTCTATAGAGGATGACGTTAATAAACGAACAGATTTTACTTTTTCCAAAAGAGTCATTAAAAATAAAAATAGTCGTAAGAGAACTCAAGTGTCTGAAGAAGAAACGGGTTCCGAATCTGATACTACCGTCGTGAAAAGAATAAAAAAAAATAAACATAAAATTTTGTCTCAAACCTCTAAAAAAGAAAGTAATAAAAAGAATAAAGATAACGAATCATCAGAGGAAGAGAGTTTAGATGAGGATGATATGAAAAGCATAATGGTTTCTTATAAGTCTACTCGAGAAGCACAAAGATCTGGTCCTGCTGATATGGGTGCTACTGCCGTGTTAGAAACAGAAACAGAAACAGATAAGGATGCACAAGCAATTTTTGAGAATTCAATTAAAATTAACAAAGAACTAAAAGGTAAATTATAACCTAAGCAACTCATTTATTTTTCATTAATGGTTTAATGCTTGTATCATATTATGTAATAATTTTTGCTATAGGTAAAGCAGATGATAAAATTTATAGAGGGATCAACAATTACACTCACTATTATGAAAAAAAAGACACAGCACAGGGAAATGCAGCAAGTGGAATGGTTAGGAAAGGACCTGTTAGAGCTCCAGCTCATTTGAGGGCAACTGTCAGATGGGATTATCAACCGGACATTTGTAAAGATTATAAGGAAACAGGATTTTGTGGTTTTGGCGACAGTTGTAAATTTTTGCACGACAGAAGTGATTATAAATTTGGGTGGCAATTAGAACAAGAAATGCAAGATGGTAAAATTATTTTATTTGAAATAATTCAACTTTAAAATAATAAAAATAATTTTTTTTAAAATTTTTTTTGTTTTTTTATTTTTTTTAGGAAGCTATGGAGCTGATGATAAAAATACTGAACGTTATGAAATTGATTCGGATGATGAACATTTGCCGTTTAAATGTTACATTTGTAGAAAAAGTTTTGTGAATCCAATTGTAACAAAATGCAGACATTATTTTTGTGAAAATTGTGCATTAAAACAATTTAAAAAAACTTCTAGATGTTATGTATGTAATAAACAGACTGGAGGCGTTTTTAATCCTGCCAAGGATTTAATGGACAAGCTTCAAAAAGCTACCAATACAACATGTGATGATGACTCTTGTGAGTCTAGTGATTAAGCTGCATAATTAAAAATAAAAACTAATTAAATATTTAATAATTAATTGTTTAAAAATAATTTGAGCATAATTATATTTCAAAATTTATTTTACACCCAATACAAAATTTTTTACTTGTAAATTACTTTGTATATAATTTAAGTTGGCACCCTGTTTTGTAAATTATATTGTATTCCTTTAATTTAAGCATTGTGCAGAATTGAAAATGTGTATTCATAAATGTAAATAAAGTTTTTTTTTTTTTAATGTAAAATTTTGAAAACTTTATTTATTTAAGTTAATTTTGTTACCTTTACTTTGTGAAAATTATGCACTAAAATTACGCATCAAGTTAGGGTTATGTAAGTGATTGTAATCAGAACAAACAAAAAATGAAATTGGTGGCTTTAATTAGTGGAGGAAAAGACAGTATTTTTAACATACTGCAATGTATTTCGGCTGGTCATGAAGTAGTGGCCCTTGCAAATATTGAACCAGATGGAAAAGGTAAAATATTATGCTGAATTAGTTCTATGTATTGTAATATTATAATACTCACATTATGCAATTCATTATAGAGGAACTAGACAGTTATATGTATCAATCAGTCGGGCATCAAATAGTTTCATTAATTGCTGTTGCCTTAGCCCTTCCTATATATCGTCAAAAAACAAAAGGAAAAGCTCAATGCAGAAGTAAAACTTACATTACAACTCATAAAGATGAAGTTGAGGATTTGTTACGATTACTTCAAAAAGTTAAGAATGAAATGCAAATTGAAGGAGTATCTGTAGGTGCAATAGCCTCAGACTATCAGAGAACTAGGGTTGAAAATGTTTGCAGTAGATTAGGTTTAATTTCTTTTGCATTTTTGTGGAAAAGAGATCAAACAGAGTTGCTTCAGGAAATGATTGATGCAGAATTAGATGCTGTACTTATAAAAGTAGCATGCATGGGTCTTATTCCAGATAAACATTTAGGTTTGCAATCATACACTTGAATTAGTAGTAGTAACGATAATAATAATGATATACTAAAAAATTTTATTGATATTTTTAATGTAATTTTTTGAAACGTTAAAAAATTTAGGAATGCATATAAAAGAAATGAAGCCACATTTGTTAGAGCTCAATACTAAATATGGAGTAAATGTATGTGGAGAAGGTGGAGAATATGAAACATTAACATTGGATTGCCCTTTATTTTGCAAGTAAACTCTCGATATTTTTAAACATTATTATTTTCAAATATATAAATCATCGATTACATTTTTCTCATTTTTTTCTTTTTTAGAAATATTAATATTATAGATCAAGAAAATGTTGTTTTATCTGAAAATGCTTTTGCTCCTGTTGCTTTTTTAAATGTGAAAAAAGCAGAGTTGACATCGAAAGATCACATAACTGATTTAATTGATTTTGAACAAAACAAAATAGCCTTTATTAAGACCGTTGTCAAAAATCCTTATAATTATATAGAAGATTGTGTGGATGAAATTAGTGCCAATGTAAAGTAACTGTTCATAATAATTTTCTCATTAATTTCAATTTCAACTTTTTCTTTTATTTTTTTTGTTGTTGAAGTATTTGTGTCGAAAAAGAAAATGAAATTTTTATTTATTTATTTATAGATTTTTCCACAACATCAAATTCGTTTACCCGAAGTTGTTTTACCTTGTCCTTTTGAAATAGACTCTAGCGAATTCGTATTAAAAACTCCAGTGAATTTTTCAGAATATTGGAAATCATCAGCGCTTCCAAAAAATAAATTAGGGGGAAAGGAAAAATCACAATCGTTTACCGATTTTTTAAATATTCATTCAGGATTAAGTAATTTAAATCATTCAACAGGTTGGTGTGCCTTGGGAAATGTTTCAGGCAAAACAATCGATATGGCCTTTCGATCTCTTCAACGTAAGTTCTTTTCTCTCACATGAGTACATGATGATTATATTATCATTATTATTATACTCAATTCTAAATAATGTGTTAAAGATCATTTGGAAGGAATGAAATATGAATTTCAAGATATAGTTTTTGTACATGTTATATTGAAAACGATGAAAGATTATTCATATTTAAATAAAATTTATTCTCATCACTTGCCTAATATAAAGCCACCGGCACGTGTTTGCGTTGCAAGTGAACTTCCACGTGATATAAAAATCATCATGACCGTAATGGCTTACAAATCGGTTTCAAGAAGTAAAAAAGCTTTAAACATGAATGACAGTCTTATAAAAGAAGTTTTGCACGTTCAAAGTATAAGTCATTGGGCTCCGGCAAATATCGGACCTTACAGTCAATGTGTCAGAGTAAGATTCCTTTCTTCTTTTTTTTCTTTTTTTTTTCTGTTTTACAACTTTCATTTTGAGTTGCAATAATTTTTTTTTTTTTTTTTTTTTTTTTTAGGTGGGAAGCTTTTATTTTTTAGCAGGGCAAATCCCTCTCATACCCGGAACGATGGAAATTTTAAACAAACCCGTTCTTCATCAGTGTAAATTAGCGTTGAGACACGTTACGAGAATATTACAAGCGATGGATGAAAATTTAAATTTTTCCTCGATATTTCAAGCTTGTTGTTACGTCACTTCCGTTGACATGGTTGAAAACATTGTTTCTCTATGGTCTTATATCACAGATAATGAAAATGCAAGTGTCAACGTTGTTGTCGTTAACGAATTACCGAGGAATGCACAAATGGAATGGGAAATAGTAGCGTCTAATTTAGATAATTTACAAGGTATTTTTAATTCGAACAATGATTTAAAGTTTTTTTTTTTTTTTTTTATTACAAATTAATAAATTGTTTTGTTTTTTTTTTTGGTTTTTTCTTCAAAGTTAAAAAACGTACGGAAAAAATTGGAAATTTTAAAATATTCTTAAAGAAATCATTTTTTTTAACACCTTATTCTTCGAGTTTTATTTGTAACGTTTCAGCCAAAAGAGAAGGTAATTAAAAAAAAAAAAAACAACAAAAAAAGAATTAAATTGTTCAATGTCAAATGTTTTTGAATTTAAATTGGGGTTTTTTTTTGTATTTCAGGAGTAACGTTTATAAATAATCTTGCAGAAATGTTAACTTCCATATTGAAAAAATGTTTATCGTTTATTAAAAACGAAGAAGAAGATCCGAATTTGCATTTGCACATAATGAGAGTTTATCACAAAACTAGTTTTTTGGATACGAATCACATAAATGATATTTTTCGTCCTTTTGCATTGGAACAAAAAGTCGTTATTAGCAGCATTCCAGTTTTGGCACTCAAAGAACCCGATGTTTTTCTCACAATCACCGGATTGTGCTGACGAAAATGTAAATAATTTAAAGAATTCATCAAAACTCATTTTAAAAGACAAAAATATATATATATATGTATGTATATATTTTGATTTATTATATATATTTTTTAAATATTCTCACAAGAATATAACATTGACATAAATTATTTTTTTTTTTGCAATAAATTAAACTAATCGACTAATTAATAATTATAATTCGTTTTTTTTTTTTGTTTCGATTAAATTAATAATGGTTTAAATTTATTTATCATCGTTTTCAAAAATTGGATTTGATTGATTATCAGTTTTATCATTTTCAACATTGGTTGCATCCACATTAGTATTTTGTAGGTTGGGGTCATCAGAATCTCCCCTCGAATTCATTGCTCCCCAGGGTTCTTTGGTAGCCTCTGATGATGTTATCAACATTGAATAAGTGCTTGTTACATCACCTTCTTTACTATGTTTTATACCATATAAAAAGTAAACCAAAAGACCTGTTTAAAAAAAATTTTTATATATGTATGGAGTTGATAGAACTAATTTTTTTCAGATGAACAATGTGTATCCAGAGTGTGAAAACTGAACGAGAGATGGAAATAAAAAAAAAAAATATATACCTAACGTCATCCAAACCATAAAACGAACCCATGTTAAAGTGTTAAGATGAACCATTAATCCGACGTTACATAAAATCGATAGTCCAGGTATAACAGGAACCCATGGTACTCGAAATGAATTAGTCGATGGATTTTGAACATGTGCTCCAATGACGAAAAGACCTAAAAGAAAAAATTTTTAGTTATTATTCGTTTTTTTTTTTTAATTTTCAAATTAGATAAATGAAATTTGAACGACAGGGCGACGACTTACATCCTACGGAACAAAAAATTAAAAATATCAAAACAAGGATTGCCCACCACTCTTTATTAATTAAATCCGATGCTGAAAAATGTAAATGAACGGAAAGGACTGCACTGCAACAAACAAACATTAAAACAGAGCCTGATATAACTTCGTTATGTCCACATCCACGAACAATGTTTGACAACCACCAAAATTCAGGTTTTAATTTTCCCACGGAAGAATGTTTTTCTACGTCCTGAAATTATTACATTATCATTATTATTATTTATAAGTTTATTTTCCGAAAGAAGTTTTGTCGATGCATAAACTTACATCCGATTGCGTCGATGCACTCAAAATGGATTCGTTGTCTTTATCGCCATTATTATTACCAAGTGTTATGCCATCGTTTTTATATCTCAATATAATAACGGAAGCACTCACGATGGTATATGCCAATAACGTTCCTATCGACATAAATTCAACAAGTTTTTCCAAGTCGAAGAGTAAAGCAATCAAAGCACTTAAAATTCCTGAAACAGCCAAATTTAGTAGAGGAACCTGAAAAGGAAAATAAAATAATTATTTTGTTCAAATAATTTTAATTAATGGATTTGTTTTTAATACCATGTTTCATAATTTTATTTGTTTTAAAAGAAAATAATAATAATAATAATATTATCTTTCTGTTATTTATTTTTTTCTTTCTGTTTTTAGAATACATCGTAATGAAAAAAAAAAAAAAAAATATATATATATATATATATATATATATATATATATATATATATATATATATATATATATGCATAAATAATAGGAAAACAATTTTGAATTCAACAAAAAAATTAATATATATTTGGATAAAAATACAATGAAATGAATAAAAAAAAAAAAAAATTAATCGACATTTTTAAATATGTTTGTCAATTCTTCGACCAAAGTTTCGTAACGGAAAGCTACTCTTATATCAGGTACGTTTGTGCGACTTATATCGTTACCCTGAACGCCTTCTTTAATATAATCCACGCCTAACCAATATTCTTTCATAAAGTGTGAAAAACCACTCATTAAAACGCTATTTCTTGCTAGTTCGCACATGTCGCAAGTACTCAATTTCCATACTTGAGCAGCTATACTATATTCTTCCATAAGTGGCTCTTTTGTAAAGTGAAACATTAACGGATCATCAGTCGACAGGCTCACGCGAAGTCCTCTGGCTAAAAATTCCGGTAGAGGACTTCTATAATAATTTAAAAAAAGTGAATTATTACTAAGGGGAGACATTGCAATTCCTATTTGTGCTAAATAGTATAAATATTGAAGAACGGGAACTTTTCGTAAAAGGAGACCGTGCGAAATGTTTTCACAGAGGAGGTATCCACATATGAGATGTTGAACGGGTCCAGCTTCACCGCAGTGAGGTCGGAAAACAAATGTATTTAAATTTTGACTTCTTCTAAACTGATTCAAAACCGTCATGTTTGCATAAGTGTAATATTGATAATAAGCATAGGGTGGATTTTCAACGTCGTTCCAATCTTTCGGATGCGGCATATCTTTATCCATCATAAAACTTTCCGGTTTTGACTCGTCGTCAACGGAATCGAATCCAATGACGTAATTTAAAAACTTGTGAAGTTCCGGATGCGAATTTGGATTGTTGGTCGTTTCGAACAACGGTAAAAATAAATTATCAAGGATTTGTTGAAAATTTTCAATTATTTTATTTGATTTATATATGTCGTATAATCTAGGGATTTGTATGACCCAACGTACGTTATCCGAATAAACGTTATACGTTATCGCCCATTTGGCTAAATAATCCCATTCATTTGAATTTTTACCATAAATGGATAATCTCAATTCGGCATTTTGATATTTACTATCTTCTAAATCGCTACAAACTTCGTTGATTATTTTAGCAAAATATTTTCCATTGATATAATTGTCGGTTTTTAAAAAAACTTCCCTTAATCTAGACTCTCCGATCGGATTGTATTTGGCATTGAATTTATCAAAGCGGTGAAATGTGTTTCTGTCTGCGTGCACGTCTAATTTATCAACCGTTAAATCGTAAGCCGTTAAATTCATCGATTCGAAAACTTGTTTTAACGTCATTTGATTTTCCGTCACAACTTCTTGCGGATTATTTTTCAATGTTTTTTTTATAAATCTTAAAAGGTGTTTGTGATTCATGCACGAAGCTGCGTGTATGTGCGTGTCAACTTTCCTAAAAAAAAAAAAAAGCAAACAAATATTAATAACGAATACTTTTGAAAAAAAAATTATCATTATTATTAATTTTACATTACCAAATATTATAGAAATCTCTATGCGGTGTTGATCTTTGTTCAGCAAGTTCTCTTAATTCGTTTAAATGAACGTGAAGTTGATATTTTAAAGATAGGTAAGACAATCTTCTAAAACAAAATGATTTTAACGGTCCATCGCTAATTAATTGATTCAATCTATTTAGATCGGTGACGAAAGCAGATCTTTCTGGACAGTGAAATTCCACCGGAGAATTATTTTTTACACTTTCTTGATTTTTAAACAACTGATGAAGAAAGAAAGAAAAAAAAACGAGGAGGTACGTTTGAAAATTAAACGTTTAAAAAATTCAAATATTAAAATTTATATTTATTGAGGAGTCACCTGAAAAACTCCCTTAACGGATGCTATTATATAATTTTTAGGTTCTGGAGTATAACATTTCCAGGGTGAAAATTTATTCTGTTTGCCACTTAAAACATCAGCACCGGAATCTTCGGGATAAGGAACGTCGTCAAAAGAATCCCTTTTCGAATACCTTTCACCATGTTTCCCTCTGCGAACATTAAAAAAAAAAAAGAAAATGTCGTCGATGTGATCGATGGCCGCCGACACGTTTGTAATAAAATGCTTGTAAGTAAATTACCTGTTTGCAAATTTCATTTCGTATTCTCTATAATGGTGTACGTTACTAGAATCCGATTCCGTTGCTATATCGTCTGAACTTTGCGTAAATTTTTGTAAAAATTTCGATGCCGTACCCAAAAGAGACTGATGACTTAATCTCATGTAATTTTCTCTCATTTGTAAACATTCGACGAGATGTTTCGATGCCAATATCAAATCCTCGTATGCGGCACCACATAATTCTTCGTCGTTGATAAATATTTTCTGATACCTGACTTCATCCGATTGATAATCCTCTTTGTCTTCCTCTTTCGATTTTCTCAACAGATCTTGGACTTTTATTTTTTTTTCGATTTGTTCTATTGGTAATTGTGGGAGTTCGTAGGGATGTGAACGTTCAGTATTTTGTTTCATGGAATTTAATACTTTACTTTCGGATGATATTTCAGATATTGATGATCTTTCTCCCGTGCTTGACGTTGCGTCATTGTTGTTTTCTTTTTCGTTAGCCTCAACGACACCTCTATGTGCCATCCTTTTTTTTTTTTTTTTTTTTTTCTTTTTTTTTTTTTTTTGGGCTCAAAATAAATCAATTACTGTTACTGTCTCTCTAAAAAAATTATTATTATTATTATTATTATTAGCGTAAAAAATAAACAAATATTTTTAACCTTTAATTATATATATATATATATATATATAAAATTAAAAATTTGTAAACATTTAAACAAAGCCTTCTCTATTATGTATGCATGCATTAACAACGCGAAAAAAAATTTTTTTTTTTTTAATTTTTTACGTAATTGTCATTATTATTATCATGCCGTCATCATCTTTACCTGATTAATTAATTACTAGATAATACCTGATGAAAATAACTGGAAAATTCGTAACGTAAAAAAAATTTTTAAAAAAGAAAAAAGAGAAAAAAAACTTTTCCTTGTCGTGTATATTTTTAATTTATTTCGAACAAACAAAGTTGTTGTATGAATAAAAAGAATAAAATTAAATTTCTAAATATAAATCCTCGGGGAGGGGATGGTAGGGGAGGGAGGGGTAGAGATTAGGGGGAGGGCGGGGAGCAGGGAAGGGTTATTGACTCAAATACAAAAAAAAGAAAATTCACTTACATGTGTATCTGTGTGTGTTTGTAATTTTCCTTTTTCCTTTTTTTTTTTTTAAATATTTAAAATGTTTGATGAAAAATTATTATTATTTTATTACGTTAATGACTAAATTTTAAAATTATTATTATTATTAAATTTAATTAGTTGAAATTGAAAAGAAAAAAAAATCGAATCCTAAATTCTTATATCACATTTGTTGTTTTTTTTTTTTTTTTATTTGTTCACGATGGCGTAAAAATTTTTAAAAACTATTTTTAATATATAAAAACTTGGCGCGTAAATTAAATTTAAAAAAAAAAAAAAACAATAACAACAACACTGTTGAACTCTTTAAGTAAAGTCAAATCGAACGTGATTTATTATTATTATTATTATCATTATCATTATTATTATTTACAGATTAAGAAAACAAAATATGAATGCGAACAGAACGAACAAACGAAAATAAACTTTTAACGATGAAACAAAAAAAAAAAAAAAAATATGTAACATGTCACATGTAACAAAACAATAAATTATTATTATTATTATTATTACTATTATTATTAATATGACGTTTAAACAATAAGAAAAACAATAATAAATTTTTTTTTTTTTTTAATTTTCCATTGCGCATTCTCGTTGTTTGTTGTTTGCATATATCGTTCGAGTAATAAAAAAAAATTTTTTTCGTATTTTTTTTTCGAAACGATAAAATTAATATAAAGAAATAATAATAATAATAATAAGCCCGAATTTTCCTTTTTTTTTCGTGGGGAGGAGAAGGAGAGATCAAAGGAGTCACGGGGGGGGGGGTTGGTTTTAAATGAATCCCGAAAAAATCGAAATTTTTTTGTGTCTGCTCCTGCTTCTCTACATAAAAAATTAATTTAAATCAAATTAAAATTAAATTCCTTTTTTATTACGTACCGTGATAATAATGATAATAATAATAATGATAATAACGTTTGTAAAAAATATATATATGTACATAAATGTCAATATAAACTTTAATAATTTTTTTTTTTCTTTTTTGTTTTAGATGATGGAATCTTAATATGGCGACTGTTTTTTTTTTTTTTGTAAAATGTTCGTTAATGTTTTTTAACACTTAAATAATAATAATAATAATCGACCTACTAATAATTTTCACTTGTGTGAAAATTTACGAATTTTAAATGACCTTCGGAAAAAGAAAAAGAAAAAAATAACGGCCATGCAACAACGCAAACAACAACAACAAATGATTTTACAACATATCATAAAATTATCATCATTATTATTTTTACAAGAAAAATAAAACACAGAGGTGATAACAAAAATATTTATTTATGTATCTCTACTTACCTTATTTATTTATTAATTTATGTATTTTATTAATAATCTTATTGATTACCACCACAAAAAATTATTAAAAAAAAAAAAGTTTATATTATTTAGTGTTATCATGTGTCAATGTGCTCTCCAGTGATATTTAATTTCTCCAGTGATATTTAAATTTTGTTTGTGAAATGATAATAATAATAACAATTTTTTCTAAACGTTTTATGTAAAAAATTTTGTCGGTGTAAATTATAGCGTGTTAATTAAAGTTTTCGATTACAAAACACTGGAGAAAAAATTTAGGTTTAGGTTTAGGTTTAGGTAGTTTATGCTTTTACCTGTGTTTTTTCGTGTACTTTTCCCAAGAAGCTAAACAGCAATCCATCCGAAGACATCGCATACATACATCTCGGTAAAGAAAACAATGAACCGAAAAGAGTGGTCGTCATACCACAAAGTGCACCTATGGACACTATGTAATTTATCCATGGTAAATCCTTATTGGCAAAAGCCTGTGGGAGAGCTGCGTTCGGATCGATTTTCCTGTAAATCCACATTTTCGAATTTTTTTATTTTGAATTTTGTTACACCTTGATAAAACTTGATAAGTGATAATAATTTACTCGTATGGAACCATAAGAGTAAGTGCAGCACCGACTAATATGTAACCGATGGTGACGGTACTCATCGAAGCAACCGTTGCAACAGGTATTGAAAATTCCGGATTTGTCGTTTCCTCTCCGGATGTTGCTATGGAATCGAAACCTACAAATGCATAAAAACAAGTTGCTGCACCCGCTGCCACTCCGGAAAAACCAAACGGGAAAAATCCTTTAAACAGAAAAACGTTTTAATTTTATTATTATTATTATTATTTGTGATTTGTTGTTAGGTTTGCAATGGGTTACCTCCGTATGTCCAATTTTCCATTTTGGCATAATAAAATCCAACGCAAACAACAATCGTAATCACTGCCAAATTAATTAGAGTAAATATGCTATTGATCATTGCTGATGTTTTCACTCCCACTCCAAGGAGTCCAGCGTACGTTAGACAAACCAAAAATGCTAACACGTCGGGATAATGTCCAAGAAGGTGTACGTGCATTTCTCCAAAAACGGATAATGTCAAGTTGCTGACTGCTCCTCCGAACAATGAATCAACATACCCGGACCAAGCTCGAGCAACGGATGCAGCTCCTAAATTAAAATTAACGTTAATCGTTTAATTAAACATGCGAAAAAAAATTCATGTAAATATACCAATCATATGTTCCAGTATAATGTTCCAGCCGATGACAAATGCCCAAAATTCACCGATGCTACAGTAAGTATAGACGTAAGCACTTCCAGCTCTTGGAACTCGAGTTCCAAATTCTGCATAGCATAAAGCCGCGAGTAAAGATGTTAATCCAGCTAACAAAAATGATAATACAATTGCTGGACCGGCTAAATCTTTTGCAACGGTACCCGTCAATACGTAAATTCCAGCTCCAACCATATGTCCGATACCTGGAAAAACATATTTGGTAAGAAATAAAACTATTTGATTAATTTAAACCTAGTTATTCGTACCTAAAAGTGTAATGTCAAACGTATTGAGACAGCGATTCAATGGAGTTTCCAGAGCATCGTCTCCAGGAATTTTTTTTGTTCTATTCATTTTGGAACAAAGATTGCTAACCATGTGTCCCATGATTCGTTTTTTAATTCCTGATCCTATTGCCATTTTATGATGGATTTCTTGATGGTAAAATTTTTTCCAGGACAAACCTATTGTGAAGAGGAATTTCAAAGAGATTAAAAACAAAACAAAAAAATCAGGTATGTCAAACCTTAAAACCCGTACCTAAATGGAAAAACTTTATTTGTAAATAACATACATGAGGAAATTTAATTTAATTTCAGGTTTATTTTACTGCTTAAAGTGTTGTTTAAGAAAAACATATGGTGAAATCTCTTTCTCTTCAGTTTAGTTTCAAATTAATAAATAAAATCTTTTTTTAAATTTGGATATTGTTCGAAAGGTATTTCTTATTTGGTACTTACGCAATCGATGATAATTTATTCGCAGAGCATAATATAAAATAATATTTATTTTACTGGAAAATGTTAAATGCAAATTGGAAAATCAACAGTTGGAATGGGAGTAAAAATGCGCAAAATCCAGATCCTGGATATATAAATCTTTGGAAATTAGAAATTTAAAAAATTTTTTTTCCATATTTCATTTGATCGAGATGTTATAATTATTTCAAACACAAATATTTCGTTAATATTCGTTAAAATAATGAAAAAATCTCAGGTATTTTAATAACGGTCGTTTGTACGAATTTCGCAGAAAAAACTTTCGAGATTATTATTTTTTCGGTATCCAGGAGGCATTGCAACGCTTGGCTAGACGTTTTCTTAATAGTGCAAGCGTCAATTGACGCATGCGCGTTTCGTTTACTAAACGTGTTGTCCTATATACTTAGCTAATGTAGGGATACATTGTTTTAGAATTAAAAAGACTATAAATGAAAATTTATTAAGAAAACAAATGTAAGAGTTATTTTATTTTTTTTTAATATTTTATTTTTTTATAATGATTTTGCTTTCTTTTAATGTCACCGATGAAAACTATATAATTAATTTATAAATGTAATATATTCAAAGTTGTTTTTCCAAGTTTTAATTTTATGCAATCATGTTTTTAAAAGTGTGATTCCTATATCTGTTAAGTTTATTTCTATTTTTTTTTTTTTTTTTTGCTTTACTATTTACAAATTTTAGTAAACAATAACAATGAAAAATTAGTCAAGATATTTTATAATATCTGTTTTATATATACAATATATTTCAATTTGTGGGCTGTTTATGCACTGCGTAAATGTACATTTTTTATTATTATAAACAAGAATTGGCAGTTGAGAAAGTCCAATATCTAAAAAAAAAAAAAAAAAAAAACAAGAAACCATAATAAAAAAAATTAAAAAGATATTTGTTTTGATTTTTATTACATTTATTTTTTAAAGTGTTTTTTATTGTATATTTACATGTTATACATTTTTTTATTATTGAAATTGTATTGTTTTCTTTCTTATTTTAATTAACGTCTTTTGTAGGAATGGTTTTTTTAAATAGAGATTTTTAAGGGCAACAAAAAAATATGGTGCACATACCATCACCATATGCATTTGATTACTGGTTGAGAGAACCGACCAGTAGTCAAGTTGAACTTAGTTGCCTTATGCCAAATGGAATTTTCATTCCTCTTCCAGCTAATCGAAATGCAATATTGTTGGAAATCAAAGAGGTAATTACAAATAAATTTAATTTAATTAAAAAAAAAAAATACCCTTATTAAAAAACTTATTTATATTTTTAAAAAAAACAATATTACATTAAATTTAAGGAATTATGGGAAGAAGCAAGCAAGTATCCTTTTCCAGGAATTTTGAGAGATGCTTCCTCTTATATTTTCTCATGTATTAGTACAATGGGAGAAACGGAAGAATTACGTGATGAAAATAGACGTCTCTGTGATATTAGGCCATTTTGTTCTGTTCTGAAAGTCATAGAGAAGAAAAAAGGAGATGGTGATGGAGATGAAAAGGCTTTAAATTTTCAAATTAGTTCTTTAATTGGAAAAGGTGAAATATAAAAAAAAAAATTAAACGACACTTTGCCCTGTGTTGAATTGCATAAAATTAACCTGAATTTTTTGTGATTTGCAGGTCTTCATGAGTTTGAAGCATTAAAAAATCCAGAGGTGAATGATTTTCGATGGAAAATGAAACTTCTCGGTTCTGAAGTTGCTAGAAGTAGGCAAAACAAATCTTGGTTGGAAAAAATAGCTTATCAATTTCCCCCAAGACTGGCATCTTCTTCAGCAATTCCCGCTAGTTGTTTAGCAAGAATGAGAGAAGGAAGTTATTTTGTTATTGTATCAAAATTTCAAAACACTGATGTATGTGTTCATCTTGTATTTTTTTTTAATATACATTCCACCGATTGAACTAATTCAAAATTAAGTTTTGTAATGTTGTTCTTTAATAATTTTAGAGTGCTTTTAAATTCAATATTTCTTATTCTACTACTCCAATTCAATTGTTACAATTGATTTTAAATAAAAAATCAATTACTTTAAACACAAAAGGAGAGCATCCTAGTGAATTTATGTTAAAAGTTTGTGGCCAAGAAGAATATTTAATAGGAGGTTATCCTTTAGTGAGATTTTTGTACATTCAAGAGTGTTTATCACGAGAAGTCACACCTACAGTTGTTGTGATCAGTATCAACAGTGTTCAAGGTAATAATTATTAAAGACAATGTAATTAAAACTATTTTTTTTTTTTAACATAAAGTAATGATAAAATTAAATTTTTTAGTGGATCAAGATAATGTTTATGAAAATTTAGATGATTTAGATTTAAGCGCAAGTAGGCAAACATTCTCTACATTAACATTAAGAAAAAATAAAGGAAAGTATTTATCATCGTGGACTATTGATGATCGATTTTCATTAAAGATTTGTGCAATAAGTAGACTGAATACTGATGTAAATAGAACTGTCGAGGTAAGAAACATTTTAAATAATTTTACTTTCAATGCATTACTTTCTTTTAATTAAATATGATTTAACGATTTTCAGGTAGGAATTCAAGTGGGTATTTTTCACGGGGGTAAACCCTTATGTGAATCTCAAAAAACTTCAGAGAAAGCAGTTTTAAAAGATGGAAAAGTCGACTTTGAAGAAGAACTTACATTTGATATTCAGATCTCAAATATACCAAGGATGGCAAGACTGTGTTTTGCTGTTTATGAAATTTCTAAAAGTGCCAAAGGTGTTAAAGCTAAAAAAGTTAAAGATTCAAAACAGGTAATGTTGAAATGTCAAAAATTTTGAATATCGATTTCTAACAAAATCAATATATATTTATTTGCATTCATCGTTTTAGGATTTATACATGAATCCCCTGACTTGGGTAAATACAACCGTTTACGACTTTAAAAATCAATTAAAAACAGGTGATATAACCCTTTACATGTGGACTTATGCGGAAGACTCTCAGCATGAAGAAATGCTACAATCATTGGGAACTGTTGTTTCTAATACGAATGTCGATCACGCAACGGCTTTAACATTATCGTTCAAAAGGTAACATAATGACAACATTAAGGTATATCATTAATGTACTAAAGTGAATGTTTTTTTTTTTTCGATTTAGTTACTCGACCGAGCATACAATTATTTATCCGAGCGTTGAAAAAATGATTGAACACGCGGAAAAATATTTCGATCCATGTTCGGTAGCTAATTTTTCACCCCAAGATGTGAAAACGTATTTGGAAAACGTTAGGCAGTTGGCCGAAAGCGATCCTTTACGTGACATGCACGAACAAGACTTAAAAGAATTGTGGGCTTTGCGTTACGAGGCTCAAAAATATGTTCCCACTTTATTAGCCAAATTGTTAGATACCGTCGAATGGAACAATCGGAACGAGGTACATAACAAATCCTTACTTATTTCGACGGAATTTCGAAATGTAAATTTATAAATAAATTTTTTATTTTTTTCATCAGGTTGCCGAAGCTATATCGCTATTACAAAAATGGCCGAGGTTGCCGGTTGAAAAAGCTTTAGAATTATTAGATTACGCTTATGCAGATCAACAAGTGAGATCTTTTGCAGTGAAATGTTTACAATCCGTTTCGGACGAAGAACTATCCCTATATCTTTTACAATTAGTTCAGGCTTTAAAGCACGAATCGTATCTTTCTTGTGATCTTGTAGAATTTCTATTGAGAAGAGCACTTAACAATAGGAAAATTGGTCATTTTTTGTTTTGGCATCTCAAGTAAGAAACCTTTTACTGACTACTGACCTACCCCTTAACAAAAAATAATAATTCGTTTATTTTATATTTTATTTATTTAACAGATCGGAAATGACAGTGCCTTGTGTATCAATACGTTTCGGTCTTATATTAGAAGCTTATTGTCGCGGTAGTCAAAAACATATGGATATATTATCAAAACAATTAGATTATTTAAATAAAATGAAAGAGACTTCCGAGTTGTTAAGACAGAGAAAGGATAGGGATAAAGCAAGGCAATGGTTACACGAAAGACTTGGCGAGTCTCATTGTTTGGAAGCTCTGTCAGATGTTGTCAATCCTTTAAATCCGAGATTTAAAATGAAAAAAATCAAGTGAGTGACGATGAGAAAAAAAAAATTTGGAAAAAATGATTGCACGTGAATATTACCCCGAGTTTTTTATTTTTAGAGTGGAAAAATGCAGGGTCATGGATAGTAAAATGCGTCCACTATATTTGGTTATGGAAAATGATGATCCATACGGTGATGACGTTTACATAATATTTAAAAATGGAGATGATCTAAGGCAAGACATGTTAGCTTTACAAATGATTAAAATAATGGATATGCTGTGGAAAAACGAGGGATTGGATTTAAGGTTGGTTTGTTTTTATCCTTTTTTTTTTTTAAATTCTATTAAAGGTTTTATTTTAAACGTTTTCGTTATGTAGAATGAATCCCTACGGATGCGTTTCCACGGAGCACCGAGTGGGTTTAATAGAAGTTGTTCTCAATGCGGAAACGATTGCCAACATTCAAAAGGAAAAGGGAATGTTTTCCGCTACTTCCGCTTTTAGCAAAGGATCCTTATTAGGTAGAAGCATAAAAATACATCGATTGTTTTTTTTTTTTTAATTACGAGTTTATGATTATCATTCCTTTGTTTATTTTAGCTTGGTTAAAAGACTACAATCCGGAAGAAAATCAACTTTTAAAAGCGATCGAAGAATTTACTCTTTCCTGTGCCGGTTACTGCGTTGCCACCTACGTCCTGGGCGTAGCCGATCGTCACTCCGACAACATAATGGTAAAAAAGTCTGGCCAATTGTTTCACGTCGATTTCGGACACATATTGGGACATTTTAAAGAAAAATTTGGATTTCGAAGAGAGAGAGTACCGTTCGTGTTGACTCACGATTTCGTACACGTCATTAACAAAGGACAAAAAGACAAAAAAGAAGCATTGGAATTTCAAATTTTTCAAAATCATTGCGAAAAAGTAATTAATTAATTAATTAATTTTTTTTTTTTTTGAAATTTTTCCTTCTCACAAATTCAATTGATGATGATGATGATGATGATGATGATGATGATTTTAGGCTTTTTTAATACTTCGGAGACACGGTAGTCTGATTTTATCTCTGTTTGCCATGATGATATCGACGGGACTCCCGGAATTGTCGAGTGAAAAAGACTTGAATTATTTAAGGGAAACTTTAGTTTTAGATTTATCGGAAAACGAAGCGCTCTTGCATTTCAGATCGAAATTTTGCGAAGCTTTGGCGAATTCATGGAAAACGAGTTTGAATTGGGCTTCGCACAATCTCGCGAAAAACAATAAGCAATAAGCAATAATTTATGTATACTGTACCATTTTCGAACATGTGTCATTACCAGGTAAACTTGCAAGTACCGCAGAGTCGACAATAATGCATCCGACCCTTGAATATTCCTGTATTCCCGTCCTCTACCACTTCTTCTCCTCCTCGAATAGGTATCATAAATAAGTATGTATTTATATATATATATATATGTACATGGTAACAATTGATATGATTAATCCGTGAACGGGACCAGACACACACACACACACCCACACAGGCACGCGCATAAATTTCAACATTAATATTTAACCGAGAAAATTATTATTATTATTATTATTATTATTTTGTTTCATTATCAATATTCAGTTATAATTATAATGCCTGTATAATAAATTATTTTGTTATCGAAAAGACATGTAAATATTTATATATATAAATATAATTATAAAATATGTGTATAAAAATTATAGAACCGAATATATATAATAAAATATAAAAAAAATTAATTAATTAATTATTATAAAAAATTAAAATTTATGCTTATTGCGTTTATATACGAGGAAATATATTTATATATATATATATAATTCACATCTGTTGGGTCAAGAAAATAGTTAAAATTATGACCTTTTGACCTTTTTTTATTATTTTTTTAATTTTTTTTAAATTTCGCATACGACTGAATTTATTAAATTAATAATAATAATAATAATAAGAAAAATTTATGTATTTGTAAAAAATTGTATTGTAATAGGTGATTATTTAAAAGAAAATAATAATAATAATAATAATAATAATAATAACGTTAATTTTTTAAAATATTTTTAAATTATTATTCAAAAATAAATTAATTCATTATTATTAATACATAAAAAAATTGTAAAATTGTTTTAAATAATTTAACAATTAAATAATAATACAAAAAGAAAATTAAATTATTTATTTATAAATATTATTATTATTATTATTGAATTCGACACGGTTAATAATTATTAATTAATTAAAAATTTAAGGAAAATTCAATGAAAATTATTTTTTTATTGTACGTGAGAGGTTATTCACTCATTCGTTTTTTTTTTTTTTACCTTTTTTTTTTGTTAAAACAGAATAGTGTTACGTAATAAAAGTACCGTATTAAGGATTCGTGGGGGAGGGGAAGGAAGGGAAGGGGGGAAACAAACAATTATAAATTTTATTTTTTTGTAATATTTATTTATTTTTTTTAAAAAAAATTTTAAAATTTGTTGGTTGATCTCATTTTCTGAAAAAAAATTATTTCCAAACGTAAAATTCTACTATTATTATTATTATTATTAAAATTAGTTTACGGTCCTGTTTATTCGTTTTAATTAAAAAATTCAATATTTTAACAAAGGTAAATAAAAATTTTAACTTGTTATTACGTAACCATTTTTTTTTTTAAATTGTATTTCGTTTCCCTTAGTAGTAGTAGTTGTAGTAGTAAGTGATTGATTGATTGATTGATTGTTTTTTTATATAAAATTTAATTTTATAAAAATAATGAAGTTAAATGATTCGGAAGAATTTGTTCCATTATTAGATAATAAGCCTAAATATTATAGGAAAAAAGATAATAATTATCAATCTTTATTAAATTCTAAAAAGGTAAAAAGATTTCCATTTTTTTAAATAATTTTCATATTACTTCTTATTATTATTATTATTATTATCGAATATGATTGTTTTTCTTGCAGGATAATAACATAATCGAAGAAACGAAAAATATTCATAATTATAAAAATGACATAATATTTGATCAAGAGGAAGAAAAGGAGGAAGAAGAAAAACAAGATGGCGACGATGGTGATGAGGATTTAAATAAATCACAAAATGATTTTAATATAACATACAGTTGGGATAAAATAAACGTTTATGGTAGTACCGGAAATGACAAAACATCCATTTTTTGGAAGAAATTTAATCATTTTAATTTTAATAATAATTTTTCTACACGAGGAGAACAACAAAAACACATATTGAAAAATGGTGAGTTGATTTGGATTGTATAAAACAATTTTTTTTCGGTTTAAATTTGGGTTTATATGTTTTAGTCTATGGCATTGCACATCCTGGAGAATTATTAGTCATCATGGGACCGAGTGGAGCTGGAAAAAGTACTTTATTGAATGCACTAACATTTCAATCAGGTTCCAACACATCCCTAACGGGTTTTCGTTATTTAAACGGTCGTGTCATTCGTTCTCGAAACGATATATCGAACGTGTCAGCATACGTCGAACAGACCACGTTGTTTTTGGGTAATTTAACCGTTAGAGAACATTTAATTTTTCACGCAATGATTCGAATGGATAAAACCGTTACGTACGAACAAAAAATTCAAAGAGTCGATGATGTTATTGCTGAGGTATTAATTAATTATTTTTTTTTTATAATAAAAAAGTAAATATAATTGTATCGTTTGATAGTTTGAAAATTTATTTTATTTTATTGGATTAGTTAGGTTTGGAAAAATGTAAAAACACTGTGATTGGTTGTTTGGGTAAAACAAGCGGAATTTCCGGTGGTGAAATGAGAAGATTATCGTTTGCTTCAGAAGTAAGACAAAAAAAATTTTCTAAAAAGGCTGTGGAAAAAAAAAGATAAATATATATTTCATTTTGTTTTTTTAATTTTAGATTTTAACAAATCCTCTTTTATTGTTTTGCGACGAGCCAACTTCCGGTTTGGATTCATTTATCGCTTTGAATGTAATAAACGTTCTTAAATCCATGGCGTTGAAAGGGAAAACGATCATTTCGACAATACATCAACCGAGTTCGGAAATGTTTGCTATGTTTGATAAAATACTCCTTCTCGCCGAAGGTAGAACGTCTTTTTTGGGGAGTCCCAAAGATGCTTTACAATTTTTCACAGAGTAAGAAATCATTTAATGACGATTTTAAATCATTTTTCGACGTCGCCATGTTTAATTCTATATCCGTTAAAGGTTAGGTGCTTCACCTCTTCTCTATCACAACACTTGCGATATTTTTATCGGGCTATTAAGCGTCGTTCCCAGGAGTGAAAAAAGTTCGTTGGAAACAATTAATTACGTTTGCGATTGTTTTAACGAATCACGTTACGGTATGGAAACTTTAAAGAAAATATATTCAAAAGGAAAAGTGAGTTTCTTCTTTTTCAACCTTTTAATTTTAACAAAATAAGAATTTTTGAAGTGATGATAACAATAACATTTTCCAGAAGAACAGTAGTAGCAGTAGAGATTTTGAATTATGTTATAACGATTTAAATAATGTTATATGCAAGGATAATTTCCAAGGAGGATACAAAGCAACATGGTGGACTCAATTCAAAGCATTATTTTGGAGATCTTGGTTAAATTTAATTAAAGAACCGATTTTGGTTAAAGTTCGATTATTTCAAACAATAGTTAGTAATAATAAAACACAAAAAATGTTAAAAAAAAAAAAAGAAAATTGTTTTGTTTTGTTTTCTTTTTCCAGGTCCTTTCTATAATCGTTGGAATAATATATCACAATCAAAAAATTGATCAAAATGGAGTCATGAATATTAACGGTGTTTTATTTACATTTTTAACAAATATGACATTTCAAAATTTATTTGCCGTTATTAACGTACGTAAATTTATTTTTTTGCTTTTGAAGTCGAATTTAATGATTATTATTATTATTATTTTCAGGTTTTTTGTAACGAATTACCCATTTTCACAAAAGAACACGGTAATAAAATGTATAGGATCGATACGTATTTTTTATCGAAAACAATGGCGGAAATACCAATTTTTTTATTTATTCCTTTTATTTTTACATCTATTGTTTATTTTTGGATCGGTTTAAATCCGGGATTAATTAATTATTTAAATACCGTAATTATTTTAATTCTCGTGACAAATGTAGCTACGAGTTTCGGTGAGGGGATGGATGGTTTTTTTTATTATTATCATCGATTTCAATAAATTTGAGCACAAAAAATCTTTTGTAATTTAATTCGATTTTTTTTTGTTTTTAGGATATTTAGTTTCTTGCGTTAGTAAAAATGCATTAATGGCTTTATCCATAGGCCCCCCAATAATTATACCGTTTCTTTTATTCGGTGGATATTTATTAAATGCAAGGTAAAACCTTATTATTTTTTAACTACGTGTTGTTAGTATTTAATTTTACTCTGAGTTATATAATTTTTTTTTTGTTTCAGAGCCATTCCATCATATTTTAAATGGTTTTCTTATTTCTCTTGGTTTAAATATGGAAACGAAGCATTACTCATCAATCAGTGGTCGAATATTGATAAAATCGAATGTACTAATTTAAATTCCACTTGTCCGAAAAATGGTGATATCGTATTGCAAATGTATAATTTTGAAAAGAAAAATTTTTATTTTGATTTGGCCTCGCTGAGTGTTTTAATATTAATTTTTCGTCTGATTGCGTATTTGGTATTAGTTGTGAGAATGAAAATATGTTGTAAAAGTTTTTGATACTGTAATTTTTTGTGTCAGAAATTGTAAAAAAAAAAAATTCATTAAATAAATTTGACGCCATTTTTTAATTTTGTTTATTTAATGCGAAGAATAGTACGTAATAATTCCAATAGATGGCAGGATAAGCATGAGTCACAGGTAAGTCGGACAGTTTTTACTTTCCGAGGTTGGCAATTAGTCTTTACGGTCACACATAGGAAAAAAAAAAAAAATTCGACTCACTCTAAATTTATACTTGAAGTTTAGAATTACCAACAGTAAAAAGTGCCAATGCATATAAGTGCGATGGTTTTAAAACCGTTTCGATAACTTCGGCTTGTAAGGGCAAGTTAAAATCGAGATTTCGCGTAAGGATGTCGTTATTCAGTCATGACTAGTTTTAAAGAAATTAATCACATTTAATTGTTATATCGAAATTGTGTTTAGAATAATAATCAAGACGTTGTTGTAAAAAAAAAAAAAAATAAAAGAAAATGACGGCTCTTAAAAATAAATAGTAGTGCATTCTACGTAAATTTTTTTTTTTTACAAAACCGTTTCGTACGATTTTCAAAATGGTTGCAGTGCACTGGATAAAAAACCGTTTCACCCATTTGATTTTTTAAAATTTTACCGGTAAGCAATAAAAATTTTGTTTTTTTTTCTTATATCAAAACCATTCACAATATAAGGTTTAATTATTTGCTTGATTTCATATCAATAAGGAATTTCATATTTGCACATTTTTTCTATAAATAACCTAGACCTAATTTTTAAATTATTATTATGTATGCATTAATTCTTTTTGCCCTTTTCAGTCATTTTTTTTTTTTTTTTTGGATACTCTGCATTATATTATTAGTACATTGTCTGTAAATTTTCAATACAATTAATTTAATTTAATTTAACAACATCAAATATTTAACCTTTTATAAAGGAATTTACTTTGTTAACATTATAGAGGTATCATACTTCAAATGTTTTAAATAAACCCGGATTGGTTATATTTATAAATATTTTGTTTGTTTTTTTTTTTGTAAGCGATAGTCTAATTGTTGATGACTTAACTATAGCACATGACATTTCTCATTTTCTATATCATATCAAATTACTTTGATTTTATTTATCTATCACTCTTTTAACCCACAGCTATCATCATTTGTTTCTCGATATCCAAAATTTTTTGTAAAATTTTTGATAGGGAATAAATTTAATTATAAACACCTCCTTCACAATTTAAATTTAAAGTTTTTCCCCATTATAAACTTTAATGAGTATTTAATTTAAATTCATTTTTTTTTTTTGGAAAATGTTTTTTTTTTTTTTTTTTTTTTCTAATAAGGTTATCTTATTCAATGTTAAATCGTTTATTAAAAAACAAGTTTTATATATTTGAAAATTACATATATATATATATATATATATATATATATATATATATATATATATGTTGATTGAAAATTTGTCCTAATTTGATAAAAAATATTTTTTTTTTGTGTCTAAATAATTAGTTAAGTATGTCAAACTTGGTTAGAATTCCAAGTTCAAAAAAAAAAAAAAAAAAAAGAAAACCTTGAAAAATAATTTTAAAATGTAATAGTTATTCCTTTAAATTATTATTATTATTATTATTATTATTATTATTATTATTATGTTTTTAAATATATCCTAAATCGTATAATATTGTGAATGGGTATCATTCGATTAAATATTTATATTATATATGTATACATATATGAAAAAAACAAGAACAACAGAAAAGTTAAATAATAATTTTTAGGTTTTAGTTTTGTGTTTTTCCCCTTCCCCCTCTCTTCTTTTCCCCCCTTCTTTCCCCCCTCAAATATATTTGGATTAAATAATGTTTTTTTTTTTTTTGTAATTGTATGAGTAATGAAGTTGTGAACGATTGTGAGCTTCCTGTGAGAGGAAGTGTGAATAATTCTGTTGAACTTGTTTTGTTTTTAGGTTACTAATTTGTTTTTGCCTTTTTGTTATGTTTTTCATTTTCTTTCGAGTGTTTCCCCCCCCTTCCCCCCCAATTAATTTATTCATTTTACGAATGGAAAATTTCCTTTTTTGGAAATTATCGATGGCTTACCTTAATTATTTCTTATAAGGATTACATAATGTTTAATTGTTTTGTGTGTATTCGATTTTGTTTTGATATGATGCATTGCATTTTAAATTTGTGTCGAATGAAAAAAAAAAAAAAAAAAATTTATTCATTTTTTTTTTAGTTTAGTTTATCAATTTAGTTTAGTTTGGTGTAGTTTTTTTTAAATGGAAGAACAATAGATTTTGATTGACGTTAATTCTTTACTAAATAACGATTCTATCGTTGAAGAAATGAATGTTTTTAACTTAATGTTACTTTTGAATTTCAATGGTTTGGTGATTTCTTTTGCTCAAGTTGTTAGTACTCGTGTGATTTTGACCGTAGTCTAGATCAATTAACACCTCTCTGGAACTGATGAGTCACTTGTAGTAGTAGTAGTAGTAGTACAGGTACAAAAACGTTTTTGTGTGTGTGTTTAAACTCTCGTTCGAATCACATATTTATGTACAGGGCACATATTAAAGTTTTTAACATTTCATAACGTGCATTTATTAAAATCCATAAAAAATCAATCAATAGAGATCGATAACTCGCGAAAAACAGTTACGTGTATTGATTGATATCAAATATTTGACCCGAATATGGGATCCTAACACCTAATTCTACCTTCATAACTCCCGTGATTAAAATTAATTAATTAATTAAAATATTTTATATATTAATTTTTTTTCTTACATCGATGTCGATGTTTATTAAAATCTTGAAGTAGTAAATAATTTATTTATTTATTTATTTTTAGTTAAAGTAGGAAATTACCTGTTACCTGATGATGGTTTTTTTTTTTTTTTTTATTAGTCATAAATTAGGCAATTATTTATTTATTTATTCGTGATAATAAATATATTTATTATTATTATTATTATTATTCGTTTTACTTCCTATTCGACCATGTTTTTTAAATTGATTTCGAGAGAGATAAATGATAAGGAACAGATTGAAGGAATAAGAAATAATAATAATAATAATAATAATAATAATAATAATAATAATAATAATAATAATAATAGATGGATGGATGGATATAAATCAAAATTCGAAAAGAATTTTTTTTTTTTTCTTTTCTTTTCTTTTCAATCTTTTTTTTTTTTTTTAATTGGAATAATTGGTTTAATAGAAGGCATTGGAATTATATTGTCTATTGATCTTCTCTCTCTCTCTCTCTCTCTCTCTCTCTCTCTCTCTCTCTGTCTCTCTCTCTTTCGATTGATTATAAACCACTAACGACAAAACATTTATTTGATGAATGATGAGTCCATTTTTTAATCGTTGTCTGATTTATTATTATTATTATTATTATTTTGTGAAGCCAAAAAAAAGATGGAAATATCATAATTTAAACTAGTCCAAATACATTGAATGGAAAATGAATTGGTAATGTAATCAATCGCAATAACACGAATATAAAAAAAAAAAAAACGTTGTGTGTAAATGTCAGTTTTTCTAAATGTGATGATCGACAAACGAACGGTTTATTGTTCTCATTTTTTTAAAGTTCCAGTTAGTCAGTTGTAGTAATAATAATAATAATAATAATAATAATTCGTGTAGGAAATAATAATAATAATAATAATAATAATAATGAAAGATCTATAAAATTAAAATATTTATTAAAGAAATAACTAAAAAATAAAAAAAAAAAAAAAAAAAAAAATTTAACCAGGGGTTTTTTAAATAAACAGGTACTAGTTGAACGCATTCCGAAGAATGCACACACACGTACGTTTAATTTTGTGGGAGGGGGGGAAGGAAGGAGGAGGGGGAAGGGGAGGGAAAGTGGGGGTTTAGCCAACCGTAGCAATCCACGATGTGTAATTTTCTTTTTCTTTTTCGTTTTTGAATGTTTCACCCAACGGTTAAATTTAAGCTTATTTGACATTTGAAACCTATCCGAGTCTCCGGTAACAATATATTTGTTTCAAAACAAAAAGAGAGAGAGAGGGAGAGGGAGGGGGAAGAGGAGAAAAAATCAATTTTTTTTTTTTTTTTTTTTTTTGGAGCGAAATTGTCGCCCTTGAAAAACAGTAAAACAGAAAAAAAAAAAAAAAAAAACGGCGTGACAAGTATCGGTTGCCAACCGTGTAAAATCAAAGTATTTTATCAGGAGTCTTTAATAATAATAATAATAATAATAATTTTGGTCGAAAACGTGATATAAATTCGTTTTTTTTTTTTTTTTTTGTGACTCATTTTTTTTTTTTTTTTATGCGCAAATGAAAATATAATTATTGACCAAATCAAGGTTTTTTTAATGATCCACCGTGATTTACACCTACTATTGTTGTAAACAAGAGAAAACACCTTGCGGAAAATCTCTCCTTCTTTCCCTCGTTCCCTCTTTTTTCGGTTGTTTTCTTCAAAACGTGGATTTTTCTTCTTTGGAGATAAACTAAAATTTTTCCGCCTACACGTTGCTTTAAAAGAAAACGAAAAGGAAAATTTTTTTTTTGTCGGTTGGCATTTTCCGATCGAAAATAATAATAATAATAAAAATTCAACCGATGTCTTTTTTTTTTTTCTTGGATCGTGTCTTTAATTCTTAAAAATGCGTTTTCCGGAGCGTTTTCTTGACGACTCGCGATGACGGTTTCGTGCCATTTAAAGACATCGTAACGAAAGGACAATAATAATAATAATAATTTTTTCGTTTTTTCAATCTTCCTTTGAAGAAGAATTTTTTAAAATGACGCAACGGATTTTTCCCGGTTTTTTGTATATATATATATATAGGTACGACACCGTGTAATTAAGAGTCAAAGCAAGAAATTTTAAAGTCGCGCACACGCACACACACACACACACGTGCACACACACGTTACTTATAGTATCGTATACCCATTTTTGAAAAAAAATTTACAATAATTCGAATTAATGGCAAAAAGAATAAAAAATTTTCTTCATT